TCCAATCAGGAGAAGAAAAGTTCAATATAAAACACTATTACCTAGTACCGAAACCTGAAACTTCAATCTTCAACAACATGAATAATGGGAGGTAACTCAAGTCTTCTGGAACTAAAGCGTTAATTGTGGGCTGTCACTAATTCTCGTTCATAGACCTGGTTATGATTTGCCTGTGTTCCTCTTTACATAATGACTTCCTATTAAAGGAGGCTCTGGTCATAATATAATAATAGCTAATAGCTAAATAGACTATAAACCGAGGCCCCGTGTGCTAAGAGCTAAATCGTAAATTCATTATGTCCAGACACTACTCTAACCTAAAATAATCAGCGACATTCCCCGGTAAATATTGATTTTATAGCATTTTTTAAATCGAAGCCGACAAATATATGTGTCGACAGTCCGGTGGGTTCGTTTTGCCGCATTGCCCAACTTGCCGCATCGTACCCAACTGCACAAAAACGACTTGTAAAACGAAACTAAAGGTTTCTGATAAAATCCGGAATGTCCATTTGTTTCACATGAAACGAAATATTTTAATCTGTTGCCCCGCATCTATTTTCTTTTTATTTATAATTTGGAACTGTTAGGGAAATCGAAAGTTTAGTTTTATGGTAAAATCTGGAATAAAATAAATAGCAAGTACAAACGATCAGAACCGTAATACTAAATACATAAATCCAAAAAACAAGACAAATTCAATGAATAAAATTGGTCGTAACTTGCAAGAGTTATGTCCCTCTACTGCGTGCCTATAACGTCACCCACGTGCTAGAAAAAATGGCAACTGAAATGTTTGATATCAAGCGAGGAGAAGTTTAAAATTCTCGTATTAGATGTGCTCTATAATTCGGCAGTGACTCAACCCCTACTGGTTCCAGATAAGTCCAAGAATGTCCTGGTGGACAAGGTAGAAGCTTGCAAGTTATGACCAATTTTATTTATTGAACTTGTCTTGTTTCGTTTTATGAATTTATGTAATTTATATTACGGTTCTGATCGTTTGTACTGGTATTTATTTTATTCCAGATTTTACCATATTACTATACTTTCGATTTCCCTATTTCCCTTCGCCATGTTGGCTATTCCCAGTGGTCACGTAATCAGAACGTCAAGGGTGCGTATTAACTATAAGCTCTCGATCAGCTTTTAGTCTAAACCAAACAACAACATGGCGCAGTGTTTGTATGACACGTCATTAGAGAAAGAATTACGAGATAATTACCCAGAGAGACTGATAAAATACCGAGATAATACCTTCGGATATTTCAACCCGATTTCCCCCCGTCAGTGAAGCAGGTAAGAGGGGCTGAAAAAGCCTCTTTATTCTGTCGGATAGGACAATAAACCGATGCCCCGTGTGCTACAGGCTGTGCACGTTAAAGATCCCTCGACAGATTGAAATCTTAAAAGAGCAGGCTAATGCCACAGGCTGAAATCCTGGCAAAATTTTCCCTCATTGCACCCTGCGTGCCTGCAAACTGATAGATTGTAGATTGTACTAAATGTATTTTATCGAATGACGATCATTCAATCTTGGGTATCACGTGAATTGCTTCCCTTTAAACCCCTACTGCTTGTGATTATCCTAATTCAACTTGTAAACTTAGAGACAGGTTCAGACGTATGTCTCCCACAGAGATAGGAAAGAATGCCCACAATCTGAGTCTTTGATCTCGCATGGATAATCTATCTGTTAACGGATACTAAATAAATTATCTTTCTTCATTGTTCCAGTAATCTCAGGTTTAAATGGTTACAATTTTCATAATTTTTTTAGTTAACCCAGTTTTAAATCAGTATTCACAAACCCTTACCACTCTAGGCCATTACACCATAAACCCTTATAACCATGGGTCATTACATCATACACACTTATCACCATAGGCCATTACATCATAAACCCTTACCACCATAAGGTCATTACATCAAAACCCTTATCACCATAGGCCATTACACCATAAACCCTTATCACCATAGGTCATTACACCATAAACCCCTATCACCCTAGGGTCATTACATCAAAACCCTTACCACTCTAGGCCATTACACCATAAACCCTTATCACCATAGGTCATTACACCATAAACCCTTACCACTCTAGGCCATTACACCATAAACCCTTATCACCATAAGTCATTACACCATAAACCCTAACCACCATAGGTCATTACACCATAAACACTTATCACCATAGGTCATTACACCATAAACACTTATCACCATAGGCCATTACATCAAAACCCTTACCACTCTAGGTCATTAATGAATGAATTCAATATGAGATGTGATACTTCATTTCAAATTTATAATCCCAAAAATAGACATTTATATCCTAGAGATGTATACCAGAATTAGATTTGGTTTTTTACTAACATAACTAACATTTCTGTTTAGGTATTAAAGAAATAGAAGATAATTATGAACATGTATGAAACACGTGTAAAGACGAAAATGCCGTAATATATGTTCCACCCCTCCAATTCGCTTGGGATTGTGAAACATATACAGAAAGTGAAACGTGCAAAGCAATGCCTTATTCTTGCACTTTAGTTAATCTAGAAAAACTAAGAAAAAAGTTAGAGAGAATTCCAGATTTAAATCCTATTCCAGAATTTTTTTTTCAACTAATGAATATAGTAGAAATATATGTGGGTAAAATTGTATAGATCAAATGTTTCAATGTTTAGGTCAATATGATAGAAAAAGATTAACATTGTGTTCTCATAACGGTAGTGGTTTTGATAACTGGGTTGTTCTTAAAAACGCAATGAAGCTATCACTAACACAGAGATGTATTCAATGATGAAGATATACATAAAAATTGAAAAGACAAAAAGAAATAACAACCAGCAATAAAAATTATTTTACAATGTATTAATTTCACATGTTCCTATGAACATGAAAAATCCAGTTTGGTGTCATAGGGGAATTCATCTTATCTACCTATCGATTTGAGAAAGATCATGGATGTAGACATTGCGAAATACACCGAAGATAATTGGGAATCTATAAGACATGAATGGAAACTGTGGGCAAAAAGGGACACAATGTGTTTTGGAGCTTGTTTGATAAAATAAAATATAACACGGTTATGAAAGAAGTTGTATTCCAGAATATTTCCAATAATCTAACTGCTCCATCTCCATCTTTAAAGGGTTATTATTATTTGTATCACTATGATAAAGAAATGGTTGAAGAACCATAATATGAAAGGACAGGAATGGTTCCGAAAAATACCGAAAAACAGAATATAGAAAAGTTGTACTCACATACACACCCTTTTATAAGATATTTAATCAGACAATCTATTAAAGGAGGTAGAGTTGCGGCAAATAGAAAATCATTTACAACTGATAAAATGGATGAAATTTGTAATGCATTAAAGGGCATATACAGAACTCAACAGTGATAATATAATTGATTTATTTAAAGAGTATAGTAAAAGTAATAAAGATACAACAGAGGTTACTTCAAAACTTAAAAAAATAAACGAGACATGTTCTAAACTAATGGCATTTGATGCTAACGGTTTGTATGCTTCTGCTATGTCAGATTTAGACAATAAAAACCAAAAGCAGAAAGTGCTGGACCGTTTCTACCAGAAGAAGAAAAAAGAATTTGTAAGATAAATAGTAAACAGAAATTTAGACCAAAAACTGCTGTATTAAAAGTCTGGTTTGAATATCCCCAAAACATGTTCATCCAAATAATACCAGCTAAAGATAAAATTACTTTCACGAACAAAGAAGGTAAAAAGGAAACTGGTACTAAAATCAGGTTTAGAAATGGTTTATGTTCAGACGTTTAAACATCCGTCGATATTCAAGAAATAGTGAAAGCCGGTGGACGAATTATTAGAATATTAGATGGTATAGTATTTGAAGGCAATTTTCAAACTCTACCATATAGAGATTATATCTTAATTTTAAGAGATCTAAGAAATAAATACAAAAGAGAAGGTAATATTGTGAGTTGTAATTGCATAACATTATTAGGCAATTCTTTGTATGGTAAATCAATGCAGAAAGATATATTCACAACTAGACATTTTTTAAAGGCCAACTTTGATTCACATGTCCAAAGCTATGAGAAAATTAATGATACTCAATATATCGTTGAAGCAGAAAATGGAGAAAAAGAAATAAACTCAACAAACAGTAAATCCACACGAATAACACCTAGTCATTTAGGGTCGTTTTTCTCACAGTAAAAAAATAATGAATAATTTATTCATGTAATAGATGGATTTTATAAGCCTGATATATTCTTCAGATACTGATAGTTTATACATTTCATCTTACAATTGGAATAAATTAAATGAAGCTGGATTGGTGTCCGAAAACGAATATTATCATTATTATCACTCAAATTACCATCACTGTAGTCAACATCATAGTCGACATCATTAAACTCTTGGTTTTTCGAACAATTCGATGTTCTCGTCATCTCACCTTCCATAGACAATTTTCATCTGCTACTAATTCGGTATTGCACATGCTAAGTTTAACATCTCAATCGTACGACAATTTTTATCGTAAGATTCTTCGTGACACTTACGGTAGCCTTTGAGAAACGCACGTAATCGTAAACACGAGACAATCGTAAGTTTAGTCTTAAGTCGAACGATAAAAAGCAATTTGCGTTCTTTCTAATAAACATAGCATCCATTCCGTAAAAGTATTAGGATTGGTATATATAGTGACACTTGTGATGTCTTCCTTTCGTGAAGAATTCTTGTTGAACAGCTTGACTTCTTTTTGCTACACAGCCGTCAAAGACTATTAAGTTCGTTTGACTTCCATTTCTCCAGTGTCAATCTTGTCTATTTGCTTAACCACTGTTTAACAGTTTTCTTGGTTTCTTTTCTAAATTGTTTTCCAAATTCTTTAACTGTACCCAATATATCTGCCACTCCTGAACCTTTTGCTATCTTTTCCATTTTTATATTATGTCTACGTTCCTCGGCGTTTTTAGCATCAGCTACGTTATATTTGTTGATGGCTTTTGCTATCCCATTCGCGGCATCAGCAGCCGTGGCAGCAGCGGCAATACCACCAAATATCAAAGGTAGCAGAGGTAAAAATCCACCTTCTTTGGCATTCGCGTCTCTCACTTTACACTATTTGTATTTATCAATAAGTTTTTGAGATATGTTGATTTTGTTACCGTTGTAAAATGTTTTAATTGGTTATAAGGGTATATTTTTCTCATTCAATTCTTATCATTCCTCTATCTGATATTTTAATTAGATGTTTTGCTTCATCCAATAATAAACAGTAACCAGTTAAATCTCCTTTTTTGATATGGATACATATGTTTACTCCTGTTTTGAAAAGATCCTCTTGGTGAGCTGATAGATCAAAACAGAATATTGGGTGATTAAGTGCAAAATCTACATATTCAAACTGAGGTGGATTTCCAAATAATTCACACATATTTTTATAGTTTCTACACAATTTATCATAATCCTTTGTGGATGAATTAATTGTTAAAGGTTGGTTAGGATAGTTATAGTTATAGTTTTTTAATCGTTCTTGAACTGTATGGATAATATGGATCTTGATTTTGGTTCATTGCCACCGTAAAGACATTATCGTTATTCGTCTGAGAAACCAACCATTAAGTTGCAGGTTTAATAGTGTTGATGATCGGCCAAGTAGTGGATTCTCCAGTTAAAGTCATGCTTCCTACTGTGTTACGACGAAGAAAAGCTATTTCAATATCTTTTGTCAATATGTTAAATATTCTCGTTTCTACTGCAATTAAAGGAGTTATGACCGGTATATAAAGTTGGAGATTCGTTATTTCTAATTTTGCATCTGAACCATTCTCTCCAAAGAATATCTTATCATCATTGATTTCTCTTTTTTTATGGTAATTCTATAGAGAACTTTCTGTGTTCCAACAGACCGAATAAAGGATATAACTTCCAATTTACGTAATTAACTTCCAATTTACGTAATTACCCCAACTACTATTAACAACGGAAATGTTGTACTTAAGCACTCGTTTTTCGAATCCATGGTTAACAGCCCGTCCTGCTCTATCTATTGCGTTTCCATAAACATTTCGCTAAATAAAGATGGGAAGAAATTGTTTTCTAACGTTGTGTTGGTTTGTGGAACTCGGTTCTTATTGGGAGAGTTATCTTTGATTTTGAAATCGCATCTGAAATACGCCTCGGTAGGAAGCAACCAATTCGACAATGAATTTCGAAGGTAACCCTACCACAACATTCTGTTGAGATTTAGAACCAACAGATGGTGAGGCGGTGATGTAATCTTTTTTTTCTTGTAAAATGAATATTGAATATCATTGAAAGATTGGATCTAGTCTATAATTTTCATTTGCCATTTTTAAAGGTCAAAATTTGAATAGAAATTATCCTATAACTTTAAAACCTTTTCCTCGTTTTTCTAAAGCTCGTTGTTCTATTCTTCTGTTTTAGTTCCCTTATTTGCTGTAATTCTTTCAATTCGTTAGATTTTTTCACTGCATCGCTTATACTAATTCCTGCTTTTGCAACAGAACCAAGAGCTTGTGCTACGGAGGAAATAAGTGATTTGTTGTTTGAAATAAAGTTGGCTACTTTTGGAATTTGAGAAAATATTCCTGAAAAGAAACCGTTGCCTGAATAATCTTCAGTTTCGAATTTATGTCATCCTGTTTTTAAACGAGTTAATTTAGTAGGATTCTGATTAAGTTTAGGATCAGCAAAGGTACTCTTTCTACAAATATTGATAATAGTCAAATCTATGCATTAGACCGACAATCCCCTTTTATTGCACAATTCAAAGGAATGAATACACTATTGTTTATTGACATACTCACACTTGACTATTTTGTATAGAATAAATTTGATATGGTAATTTGACTTTATATAAATCAACCAATCTTGCTATGGGGAATTTCATATGTGATAGTAGATATTTGTTGTTTTTTTTTCATACTATGATAGAATTAGATGTGGGACCTTCATTTCGGATGTATTCAGGCATAAAAAACGTAAAATAGAGCGGTTTTTTAGATTACATTAGATCACATAACCCAACTACAATAGGACTATTAGATGACTTAAACCTACCACAATAGGACTATTAGATCACATAAACCCGCCACCATAGGACTATTAGATCACATAAACCCGCCACCATAGGACTATTAGATCACATAAACCCGCCCCCATAGGACTATTAGATCACATAAACCCGCCTCAATAGGACTATTAGATCACATAAACCCGCCACAATAGGACTATAAGATCACATAAACTTATACACAATAGGACTATTAGATCATATAAATCTACCACATTAGGACCAAAAGATCACATAAGCTTATAACATTAGGACCAATAGATCACATAAGCTTATAACAATAGGACTATTAGATCATATAAATCTACCACATTAGGACTATTAGATCACATAAGCTTATAACGATAGGACCATTAGATCACATAAACTTATAACAATAGGACTATTAGATCACATAAACTTACCACAATAGGACTATTAGATCACATAAACCTATAACAATAGGACCATTAGATCACATAAGCTTATAACAATAGGACTATTAGATCACATAAACTTACCACCATAGGACTAATAGATCACATAAACCCGCCACCATAGGACTATTAGATCACATAAACTTATAACAATAGGACTATTAGATCACATAAGCTTATAACAATAGGACTATTAGATCACATAAACTTATAACAATAGGACTATTAGATCACATAAGCTTATAACAATAGGACTATTAGATCACATAAACTTATAACAATAGGACTATTAGATCACATAAACTTATAACAATAGGACTATTAGATCACATAAACTTACCACAATAGGACTATTAGATCACATAAACTTATAACAATAGGACTATTAGATCATATAAACTTATAACAATAGGACTATTAGATCACATAAACTTACCACCATAGGACTATTAGGGGGCATTAAAGAGGCCTGAAACTCCGAATTTCAAAATTGTTATCAATATACATAGTGAAAGCATAGCCTGTGGCCCCCCTGGAAAATATTGTGGCCCTCTGCTTGGCCTCTTCAGCTACCTACCATCGTATTATTTGGAATCACAAACCTTGAATAGATCTTATACTCTATTTTAATCTATTGTGTTATTCTTTC